TACATATGCCAAAAAATCGCCACGTTGGTGAAATTTCCTTAGTTACAATCTTTCAATTCTCTCACAATGATGTAGTGTCTTCAAAATGCACATAAAGTGCAACTTCAATTTTCAATGTTATTTATCAAGTTCAAACAAGTTTAAACAATTTTTGAACTTGATGGTCGATTTTTTCTAAAAAATTTGCCATGATATATTTGATCCGTGTATAACATCATGAAAAATGGATCACTACTTTTGTCTTCATATCAGCATGATTTTCTATTTGTCATGATCTTTTCAAACAGTATAACACCTTCTTCTAAAATCTCTAGCACAAAGGGATATCGAGCATCAATAAGCTTCGGCCTTGCTTGATAAATTTGATTCTTTATTAAATGAATAGCACTCTAATCGTCACAATGCACTTTTATGTGCTTTTGTCTAACTCTCAATTCAATAAGCAATTCTTGAAGTCAAAATGCCTCCTTAATAGCCTTGTAATTACCATATAATATGCCTTTGTATTGACTGTAAAGTAGACTTTCTACTCATCGGTGCTTTAGTAAGAGTAAATATATAGCCAATAGTTCACCAACGTTTATCCAAATCACTAGCATAATCAGAATCACAGTAACCAACTGCACATTGATTGACTTCTTTATCCTATTCAAGGATCAGTCCAACATCCCTGATGTTCAGAATGTATCATAGAATCCATTTTATAACTTGTCAATTCTCCTTAGTAGGATCATTCACATACCTGCTCACAAATTCAATTGCCTGCGAAATGTCAGGCCTTGTACACACTATAACATACATCAACTATCAATAGTATTCGCATATGGAACCTTTGACATGTATGCTCTTTTTGTAGCTTGCATAAATACACACAATGATCATATTTGTGTAAAATACATATGATGTTATTGTAATATTTAAATCATTCATAAATCATATAAAATATAAAAGTATTTGTGTGCTAATTAACTTAAAATTTTATTATTTTATTAAATAAATTAAAAAATAACTATTAGTTACAAAATAAGAATTTTTTAGAAATTGGTTACACCATATTAAAGTTGATTTTTAAGAAAATTTAGACTATTGTTTTGGGCCTAACAAACAATTTCACCTTGAACTTTTTGAGTAATTGCAATTTCATTCTAAATCAATCTTTATATCCTGAGCACTCTAAAGTTATCAATCTAGTTGCAATTATACCTTAATTTGCTTAGGGTTGTACCCTAAAAGTGAATTACAGTACCATGAACTTATCAATTTGTTGATCACATCCTAAAAGTAAATTAGAGCACCCTGAACTTATCGATTTGTTATAATTTCATCCTAAAAATAAATTTAAGATTGGAATTACAATTAAAACGTATAAAAAATAGAGTCTATAACCAATTCAAGTGTTTTAAACAATAAATAAAAAAAATGCAAGTATTCATATAATTCGAAAAAAAAATCAAGATTGCATCTTTAATTTTAAAATTAAACAAATTTTAAGATGCAAAAGTAATGAGTTGGATACTAATTCAAGGTTACACTTTCTAGGATGGTGAGAAAAATATGGAGATTTTTTTATCATTGTCGTTGCAGCCGATATTTAATTTCCTACAAGGAAAAAAGACAATAAGTCGAAGGACAAAAGACGCAAAATTATAAATTCTTTCTTTTAATTCAAATATTATATACTGCACTAAGTTTGGATTGGTTATGGAGTCCATCTTTATATTGTCTTAGTTTATAATTTCAACCTTAATTTGTTTTTAGGGTGAAATTACAACAAATCGATAAGTTCATGGTGCTTTAATTCACTTTTAGGGAGCAATTGTAACCTAAAAGCAAATTAGAGTGTAATTACAACTGAATTGATAAGTTCAGGATGTCCAAGGTACAAAGGTCATTTAGACTGAAATTGAAAGTTAGTGAATTGTTGGTTAGGCCATTTATCAGTAATTTGTAATTTTTTGACCTTTTTATTTTTGAAATTTAAAAAAAAAAAAAAGAAGTTAGTGGATTTCAAGGTATGATTTTTTAAAGAAAAAAATTGTGGATTTCAAGATTTAAACCAATGACTTTTTGAAAAAGATTTTACGTCTCAGCCATTTGATCCATTTTTCTAGAATAAAACTTTTAACTTTTTGTGTTTAAAATTAAAGTTGTCCAGTTTGCAGAAAAAAATAGAACCATATCAGACCAGACTAGAAATCGGTTTGTAAAACGAAGGAATTGAAATGAGAAGCCATTTATGTCTCCTAAAGCCAAATAACCAATGGTCTAAGCCCTTTGTTAGAATTATAAGGAAGAGGAAAGAAAAACTTAATTTGTGGTGTTCTACTATATCATAAAACTTCAAATACATGGGTATATATAGGGACCAAGACGAACCCTTTTACTTCTAATACAAACGCTTTTATAGGCGTTTGTCCGCCCTTCTGCAGAAGAAATTGCTAACAAGGTTAAGGGGTATTATATTTTTGACAAGTTTATATTGGATTAATCAAATTTGCACAACCACTTACCCGTCTACTTTGCCGGCATATAATTCTAAATCTATGTTCGGTAATAACTTTTTAAATAATTTTTAGTCAAAACACTAAACACTATTTTTTTATAGTGTTCGATAACTTAACGTTTGAAGTAACTTCTAAAAGTTAAGGTAACGTTTTATAAAAAATTAACTCATGTAACGTTTAACATTTAGCGTTTTATGAAAAGTTACTCAAACATCAAACAACTAAACGATATTAAAACAGGTAATTTTGCAGAACAGTTTCTAAACCACGAGTGATTTTATACCTTTTCGAAAATGATAGATTGTTTACCTGGTGACATCTAATAGCACGTTATCTTTTATTTACACCTTATTTAGCCCTGAATTAAAAAATAAATAAATATTCGATAAATATTCCTCTGCCCGAAAAATTATAAAAGCGGTGCAAAAATATTCCCCAAAATTCTAAGATATATTTCCTCCAGATTTTGAATAAATTTTGGGTAATTCGATCATTGTCAATGATGGCTGGAAGTTATTTAACCATAAGCGTTGATTGCTGTCGAAAGTCTAAAAATGGAATCATGTTAACCAATGGAAATAGTTTTGGTAAAGATAAGAGAGCGACAGACAAAAGGATTGGGTTATGTGACAGACAAGTTTTCATAGAAAAAGTTTTCGTAGACAATTTTTCGTATTTGACCAAAATTTATTACATAAAAATATGAGAAATCCGAATAAACCAAGAGCGAAAAACCTGCCTAATTTTATTGACATTGGAAGTGATCCAAAAATAATGTAATTAATAATTGAAAAAATAATTATATCATCCCCCAGACGTTTGACTAAATTTATTAACTCGTCCCTGCAGTTTAACAATATTAATTAATGATTCCTGAGGATTAACCATATTAGACTATTTAGTCATTCCGTCCAAATTGTCAAAATTTGTTGTTAAAATCACGGGAAATGACGAAAAATACCTTGATATTTAGTAATAAAAATACTAAAATAACGTTGTCAATCTCTTCCTCCGTCCATACCAATGCACCATCAACAACAAACATGCAGAGGACTAAACAACCCTCTCTATCTCCTCTCTATCTGTTTTCTCCAAAACAATCAAACAACTCTCTTTCTCTCCATCCTTATCATCTCTCTTCTTAACTGTTCACCGATTACATAACGTTTTAATTAAGAGTCCCAAGAAAGTAAATCTGTACCAGGCATTTGATCAAACATCTTGTGTGACAACTACAGCCCACCAAAAAATCCATACATTCAAATCAAAACATTTGCTACAAATAGATATTAACTAACGCCTAGATTTCAAAGCATGAATATTAAATATTTGACCATATACACAATGCCAAGTCTTAAAAGTCTACTTTCTTCCTTTTTGTTTCTGAAATCATTTATATGCAGCTTAGTTTTTTTTGTTAAAATGGGAGAAGACACAAATGTCTATAATTTTTCAATGATTTTGGGAGCTACAACGACTTTATCGAAATCCAATTCAGGAATTTATGTTGAAATGGACCAAAGCTTAGTACCCAAGCATCAAGGAGTATCGTGAAGTAATTGACAACGAACTCTTGTCATAGAGGAGTATGCATCCTTGAATCGTCGTTTCGTGGAATGAGCATGCCAGTATAGGCCAATTCAGGTTTGGTAGAATTTGAACACCTAGGCTCCAATATCTGATTTACCATCATAATATGAAGGGTAAGATACCGCTATTGTTTGCGCAAGAAATAGGAAAAAAGGTAGGTTAGGTTAAAGGGCAAGTAATGTCATTTTAAATTAATTGTCTCACATTTTTCTTATTTTTTCACGTATTTTAACTCAAAAAAAAATGAGCAGAAAAACTAAGTAGGCTGATGGAGTTAAACCTCAAGGAGTTAAACCTCAAGATAATATTGTCAAATTGCTCGAACGAGTTAATTAATTTGACCAAACGTCAGGGACCAAATAATTATTTTTCCCTTACTAATTTTTAAAGTTTGATAGGAGGGGAATGATTACTTTCACTTTCCACAACCGCGGTGGAGATTCGGGTAAGAGCCCATTAGAAACTGGTAAGAGCCAATGGGCTCATCTTGCGTACATCACTTCGGTCCGGCCCACTTGTTATATGACACTGGCCCAAGCTTTGTTAGTCATTGTCTCACTTCACTTCTGATCTTGAAAACATTATTGTTATTCTTTTTTTTTGTATTTCGAGGGAAAACCCATTTGTTAATGTGGTTCCTTCCTTGCGAAAATCTGAGTATTTTCTCACCTACCATTTTTAGCGTATGGTTTTATATATTCAAAGACTAAATTACGTATTAGGTTCAATGACAATATAAACGGCCTAAGAATATATATATATATATATTAGATAGTATCATGAATTAATTTTTGAGTATATTATTAAGTAGTTCAGTCTAATTAAAAATAAATTATTCACATAAAACACAAAAAATCCATAATTATTAGAAGTAAAAAAATAATCCTGTTTATAAAAAATTGAACCATTATCATTAATGGAGATAGCACCTTAATCATCACCAACATCAAGAAATTTGAAATGTATAGAAATGAAATATTACTTTGAAACTTCTGATAAGCAATGTAAAATAGTCAACCTTCCCAGATCACCAAACACTAACCAAATCCTAATTAATTCTTCAAGCAATCAAGAATTTTAACTTGGTTGGCCCAACTCCCACACCATACTTCACATAATCTCAATAAAATTCCCACTTAAAAGGCTCTCCACTTGCATTTGCATTTGCATATGCTTCCATATCCACTAAATGGAGCTAACAAAAGTGCCTTCTTGTTTCAATCAACCAACAATAGAAGATGACTCTGTTATTCTCTTTTCAACTTCTGAGGAATCCACCAGCCGCTCCTCCTCTTCCCGCCACTCACCACCGCCACCTCAACACCATTCACAAGTGCCTTACAAACTTACTGTAACAAATCTTTCCTATACCATTTCTTCTTGTGAGTCAACGTTTGCTTCATTCTTTCACGTAGGCCAAAAGCCTAAGCCTATTAACATACTTCAATCAGTTTCTTTTCAAGCAAGAAGCTCTGAACTTCTTGCCATTGTTGGTCCAAGTGGGACTGGAAAATCTACTCTTCTTCGGATAATATCTGGAAGAGTTAAAGACAAAGATTTTAATCCAAAGAGTGTATCCATAAACGATCGGTTTATATATAAGCCAGCTCAGTTAAGGAAGATATGTGGATTTGTAGCACAGGAAGATAATTTGCTTCCTTTACTGACAGTGAAAGAAACTCTAATGTATGGTGCAAAATTTAGACTCAAAGAAATGAGTACAAAAGATAAAGAGAAGAGGGTAGAGAGTTTAATGTTAGAGCTTGGCCTATCGCATGTTGCCAATAGCTTTGTTGGTGATGAAGAGAATAGAGGCATATCAGGTGGAGAAAGAAAAAGGGTATCCATAGGCGTTGATGTAATTAATGACCCGCCAATTTTGCTTCTTGATGAGCCTACTTCAGGCCTAGACAGTACCTCAGCTCTTCAAGTTATTGAGTTACTTTCAAATATGGCAAAAGAAAAACACAGAACAATTTTATTTTCTATACACCAACCAAGTTATAGAATACTTGGATTTATTAATAACTTCTTAATCCTTTCTAATGGTTGTGTGGTTTATAATGGTAGCTTAGAATCACTGGAGGAGACAATATATAATTTGGGATTTCAAGTTCCTATGCAACTCAATGCTCTCGAGTTTTCTATGGAAATTATACAAACACTTGGTGAGCATTCAAAATCCATAACTTATATATCTCCTTTGCAATACTCAATTTGGCAAGAGGAATCAGCTTTTCAAATAGAACAAGGTATTCAAAAAAAGGGTATTTCTTCTCTTTTACATTTGCATGAGATTATTTATCTTTGCTCGAGATTTTCGAAAGTCATTTACAGAACAAAGCAACTACTATTGGCAAGAACACTGCAAGCATTAGTTGGTGGGTTTGGTTTAGCTAGTGTATATATCAAAGTTAAAAAAGATGAAGAAGGAATAGCAGAAAGATTAGGGCTTTTTGCCTTCAGCCTTAGCTTTCTTCTTTCTTCTACAGTTGAAGCTCTTCCAATATTTCTTCAAGAAAGAAGAGTTCTAATGAAAGAAGCTTCTAGAGCAGCTTATAGCATTTCCTCTTACATAATCGCCAATACAATTATTTTCTTGCCTTTCTTGCTTGCTGTTGCTGTTATTTTCTCTATTCCAATTTATTGGCTTGTAGGGCTTAACCCTTCCATTTCGGCTTTCACATTCTTTACTTTTATTGTTTGGTTAATAGTCTTGATGGCTTCTTCTTTAGTTCTTTTTCTAAGTGCTATTTCTCCTGATTTTATTTCAGGGAATTCTTTAATATGCACAGTTCTTGGTGCTTTTTTCCTTTTCTCTGGGTATTTTATACCCAAAGAAAATATTCCTAAGTATTGGATTTTTATGTATTACATTTCTCTATACAGATACCCATTAGATAGTCTTCTGGTAAATGAGTATTGGAGTTTGAGAAATGAGTGTTTTTCTTGGCATTATCAAGAAAATCATTCTCAGTGTTTGGTTACTGGGAATGATGTGTTGAAGAGTAGAGGACTTGAAAAAGACAATAGATGGATTAATGTGGGGGTTATGTTGGGCTTCTTTGTTTTCTATCGTGTTCTTTGTTGGGTCATTCTTGCAAGAAGGGCTTCAAAAACAACCATATGAGAATGTAGAATTCCAATTTGTAACCCTTCATAAACATTTATTGATTTTCGGCTTTGCCCTTTTCTGTTATTATGTTACATTCAGGTGCGATGAAATCCATTCAATTATCTTTCGCCCTTAATAAGTTACTCCCTTCATCCTAAAAAAATATTTTCACTATCCAAAATGGTGTCCCAAAATAATAGTCTCATTTCCATTTTAGAAATAGTCTTTTTATTAATTTTCCTATAATACCCTTATTATAATTTGTGTCAATAATTAATGTTAATAGAATTACTAAATATTTAGTCAAATATAAATATAAAGTAATTGAAACATATGCCGAGATATTAATTTTTAATTGAAAAACATTATAAACAATTTCAAAATTTAATCAAAAAATTATTAATATATTGGGTATATATAGGAAAAGAAGGATAAATGCGTGTAAAATTGAACTAATTTAACTACCTATTCGTAATTTATGTAAAAATGTAAAAACAATGAAAATTATTCTTTTAGAATAAAGGGATTATTATTTTTATCCATTATTACACTAACTAAATGTCATGCATTCTTTCCTATTAGAGACAAACATAAAATAAAGGTATAACGTTAATCTGGTATTAAAATGTTATATTTTTTTTTATTTTGGTGTGTGAATAGAAAATTGTGACAATTGAGTATCTAAATTTATAATTTTTTTTTAATTTGGTATCTCATGATGTACATGGACAATCGGGAATATCTAATGGGACTAATTGGGATCCATAGACGCTTATGTGTCTATTTACGTAGACTGACATTTTCTCCACGTAGGTTGACAGCATAGCAAAATCTGTAGGTTTACAGCATAGCAAAATCTACAAAATGACCCATTCACCCTAATTTGATACCGCTCCAAATACTTTCTTTCAAAAAAATCTAAACTAAATCACGGTTCAAAGAGCAAATTTATTTTAATTGCAAGAATCTAAACCGAAAGCTTTGCATGCTTAAAACTTAAATTTAGTTTAATTGGAAGGCCATTCCCATTGTCATGTAATGTTTTCAAAACATATGGTGGTTGATGAAATGGATCGAGGAAATTAATCATGACACCTATATATTTAGGGGTGGTCATAGTTTCGGCTTCAAATTCCAAAAATTTGGAAGTGGAAACTGATAGTTCCAGTTATGCTGTGGAATCGTATGGTTCTGATTCCTTAACGGTTTCAAAATCGACGATTTCGGCTGATTTTTCGGCGAATCGCATAATTACAAAATCAAAAATTGGGGAATATTTTCTTGTTGAAAATTTAAAATTTAAATATTTATGAAATAATTTTTTAAAAAATTTTAAGAAAAAATAAAAAAAAGGCTCGAACTTATTTTGACAATAATCGAAGATTGGACTTTAGACAAATTATTTGACAATAATTTTGACAAAATTATAAATGAAAATTAGAGAGATTGTAGAGTAGAGAGTAATATAGAGTAGATAGTAGTGAGTAGAGATAATTTTATTTGAGAGCATAAATGAAAATGGGTATCAATAGTAAATCCAAAAAATAAACTTTCCACAAATACCTTTAAAACTAGCCATTATATAGCGTTTTATAGTTGTTAGGACGGTTATTTTGGGGATTTCACAAAAATATTTGAAAAATAAAAAAAGTTGTTGAAACCGGATGGAACCGCCAGTTCTAGCTGTTAAACCTAAAAATTCAAATTTGTTTGGAATAGTCGGTTCTAATCGATTGAAAAAATGTTGGTTTCGGTCGGTTCTTGGAACCGTGGTTCATGGTTTCTCAAATGTTGGAACCAGAATCGGACCACAAACCCCTAGTTTCAATTCCCGTTTGGACTGATTCCAGTTCTTCACGGTTCCAGTTTTGATTTCGGTTCCAAAAAACGTGAAATAGCCACCCCTATATATATTGGCACTTTGCAACATGAACTAAATATGGGGAAGGAAGCATATGGTGACATGGGAAATTACCTTATTTTTTATGAGTATCTTCCATAGCCATTACATAATATCAAAAAAAAAAAAAAAAAGAGAAAGAAATAATAAGTTTTATAAATTTAATTTGAGGGAGCGAAAATACGGACAATGTCACCAGCTTGAAAAGCATCACACTCATCTCCCCATAACTGGAAGTGCACAATAACTGTCTCATCAGCCACCAGAGCCAAGCATGTCTTATTCTACCTTTCTATTGTCCTGGCTTTTTCCAAAACTATGAATTTTGCATTTATGTTTATTTAAGCTGAGGATGTTTTAGGCAAACCAAGGTTTCTCTTTCCATGATTTCTTAGTACCTGTAATTTTTTGCCATAGAGCTAATGACCAACTCATCATTCAAGTTCTCCACTTGCATCGCCATTCTTTGAAATTTGGATACGTATTGCCTTAGGGCTCCCTCTTCTCTTTTTAAATCTACCAAGTCAGACAATATTTTCCTCGATAGTATACATGTTATGAAACGAGCTCAGAATGTTGTGGCTAACTAGGAGAAGGAATGAATGGATCATGTTTGAGCGTTTGATACCATTCTTGAGATGCTCCTTTCAGGGTAGTTAGGAAGACCTTATGTAACACCCCTTCCCGGTCCACCCGTAAACCCGAATGAACCGAGTCGAGATGCTACAAACTGGTTGACTGTATGGTCTGACATGCTGATTTGAAATTTTGGATACGTATTTGCCTTAGGCTCCCTCTCTTCTTTTTAAATCTACCAAGTCAGGACAATATTTTCCTCAGATAGTATACATGTTATGAAACGAGCTTCAGAATGTTGTGGCTAACTAGGAGAAGGAATGAATGGATCATGTTTGGAGGTTTGATACCATTCTTGAGATGCTTCCTCAGGGGTAGTTTAGGGAAAGGACCTTTATGTAACACCCCTTCCCGGCCACCCGTAAAACCCGAATAACCGAGTCGAGATGCTTACCAAACTGGTTGACTGTATGGTCTTGACATGCTGAAAACATACTATATATTGAATAATAATAACATTGAATCTAATATCATGCTGAGATTGCTTATAGTAATAATGTACTGAATATTTACAAGACATGATACTAGTTACAAAATGGATTGGGCCCAACTGTGTGCCTCGTACATGCCATAAAAGAATAACAAAATGAGTTTCTACCCTGAAGACCGAGTCTTCTACAGATGAATGGCAGCAGTTGTAAACGGACCCTCTACGAACTAGTCTCAAAACCTGCGATTTAAACAGGTAACTAGCTGAGCAAATAAAGCTCAGTGGATATCTCAACATAAAACAACAATAAGCACACATATAAGCAAAAAGCATTATGTAAGCACAATATATATGGCACATATAAGCTCACACATTATGATACTTTCATGATACCTTGATTATCTTTTGTACTGTTTATAAGACTGTATACTTCATGAAATGTTATGTCAAGATATCTGTTTGGCTCCATAAGGTTATAGTGAAACCGAAGTGATAAGAAAAACTGTCTGAAACTGGATGACTACTGTATGCTTGGCTGCTATGGCCCATATAATCATATCCACTCAACGGCCTGTAGCCGGAGTAACAAACTGTATGAGGCGCATATGAGGCGCAGATCTGCTATCCTATGTCGCGACATGGTCTTATCTACATGGTTTCTACCTAACCCCCATGGAGCATAATGTTGGTATGTCACAAGTATAACACAACATCATAGTAATAGTTCATCACTTCATAAATCATCATGTTCATATGATTTCACATCATTTGCATGCTTGCCTGTTGTTTTAATCCATATTCTAATGTTGTCTTTTTGTTTTACAATGATTGGATGCATACAAGTTGAGCAAGGAATCCATTTACATAGGAAGAAAAAGAAAGTCCAAAAATGCAAGAAAAACCAAGTCGCGAGCGCGCCTGTGGAAGTCGCGAGCGCGAGATGCAGAAAATAAGAGACAGTGTGTTATCAGGCACAAGTCGCGAACGCGTACTTGAAAGTCGCGAGCGCGTAGTGTGCCAGATGAGAGACAGTGAGTTTTCATGCCAACTACGCGAGCGCGCACTTGAGAGTCACGATCGCGTAATATGCTAATTGAGAGTCAGAGAGTTTTCATGCCAACTACGCGAGCGCGCAGTGCAAGTCGCGAGCGCTTCCAGGCCAAGGGCCAACTTCGCGATCGCGTCTTGCAAGTCGTGATCGCGTAATATGCAAAATGCAAGTCAGTGAGTTTGAAGTGAAAGTCGCGCGCGCGCAGTGCAAAGTCGCGAGCGCGCGACGTGCTTCCAGCCTGCGCAGTGCAAGGTCGCGACGCGTGTACCAGGTCGCGACGCGTTTCCAGCCTGCGCAGTCTGGACTCTTTTGATCATATCTCTCAATATACAAATCCAATTTGGGTGATTCAAAAACCCATGCAAAGCTAACACATAGAGGAACAAATAACTCTTCTATGACCTCTTCTATGACACTTCCGAATTCCATCATTAACTGGGGTCAAAATCAAGATGAAGTTACTGGTAAAATTTCCAGCAACCCCTGTTTCAGCATAACTCCATCTTTATTTCACTTATTCAATACCTCCCCTGTTTTCTTAGCAACACACCACAAAAATTCTCATGCAAGGACAATAATAAAAATCAAGAGATATCAGACCTTTACTCCAAAAACGCGTGAGCTCTGTTCTAACTTCTCTTCTCTACACTCTTTGAACTTCCTTCACCTAGAATAAAAATTCTTATCACTTATCTACGATATAACTCAATTAGAGGTTGAATAGCATAAAGCTTCAAGAAATTCTACTTACTTGGAGAACTAGAGGTTGCCTTAATGCTTAATGCTTAATTACCACAACTACCATGAAAATGAAATGAAGGGAAGGGAAGGAGATGAAGAAGATGGAGATAAACATGAAAAATGGGAAAGTGAAAATGGAAAATGATTTTTACGGGTAGGCTATCAAAATAGATTGTAAAACTTTCCTACATGGCACCTCAATTTATGCAAGGTTACACTTAAATACCCAAGCTTGATCTTTTTTAATGCAATTTGAAATCCTCTCCTATATGCTTTGATTCTTTTCCTCTTCATTCAAATAAGTCCACTTCTAATTTCTCATTCTA